CAAGGCCTAATAGTTGTGGTGAACCAAGACTCAACTTAAAACAAAGTGAGTTAAGAAACTTTATACCTTTGAAACACCTCTTTTCTTAGCAAAGGTAAATCACCCATGTGATGGCCTTCTTCCTTTGTCACCTTGCTCCTTGGCTCCATGGATTTGGATGGAGGAACTTTGCTTCTTGGCTCCATGTCTTCTTGGATATGAATGGAAGAATTGGGTTCTCCAAAAGTCACCAAAGTTGGAGACCTCTAAGTTTGGACACCAAGGTTGGTTGAGGAAGAAGATGAGTGACCATGGAAAAATTAGATGCTAGTAAATTTTCCCATGGTGGCTTGCTGTTCTAGAGAGAAAAGAGAGAGAGAGTTGTTCTCTTTTCTTCCCTTAGAAAACCCTAATGATGAAAAGGTTATAAAGTCCTTTATATAGTCCCTTCAATTAAATGATTAAAAGAACCACTAACCCTTTCCTTCTCTATATGGCCGGCCTCCTTAAGGCTATGGGCTGTTTGGGCCCTTTTGGGTTTTTAGTTAATACGTTGTCATACAATTTATGTTAATGGGCTTGACATTCAAATCCTATTGGGCCTTGTGGCCCAAAACTAACCCGAGGTCTATAACTAACTTATTTGTTTGATTAATTAACATATTAATTAATCTTAGCCATAAATAATTAAACCATTTAATTATCCTTACTCATCTCCGTTAAATCCTTTAAACATTACCTTACACGATGTGCGATCCATTAGGTTTCTTTTAGCGAGGCAGTGGACGATTAGAACTCTTCAAATCGATTGTGAATTGAAACTTATTTTCAATTCTCCCTTTAGCGATTATACACCTTTAGGGCTTCCATAAACCATGAGTGACACCTAGCAGTATGTCATGGGTACTTAAGCTAATCAGAAGAGGTTGGAAAACCTATTCAATTTGGTATTACAATGCAATACAGTCTTTCTCTAATACAATACTCTTGACCACATTGTTTGGTTTGATAGTTTATTCATGTTTACTATCCAATGTGATTCATTTTACTTATATGATTACCTTGAATGTGATTTGGAACAACTTCCTAAATCTCATTCATAGTTTGGCCAGAGATTCTTAATCATATCATAGAGTATTCTCCCTCAAACGATTTGAAGGTTAGAGATCTTTTGTTGCGCATTCACTTGCCTCCATGGCTAAGTAGCTTAACCCCAGCTATGTCGTGGACACCCTTTGACGGAGTGACTTTGACGTAGTAAAAAATCAAGGACCTAACCACAAGACAATTATGATGTCTCGGGTCAAAGGATTACTTTGCATTATCCCAACCATGAGTTCTCATGTGACATGAGTATGAGAACTCCTTGTTGATCGCGTTTAGTGAACTCATTCTCTATTAAGCACCTACATGCTTGTCTTGGTGTCAATCACACGAATGACTTGAGACCAGTCACTCTCTCTAAGAGAAGACGTAACACATACTGATCTTAACAGACTGTCAATGCCCAATTGGCAATCCTATGATCAGGAACGTTTAGGATATGTATATGAAAAAAATGGTCTCATGAATCTAACTTCTTTAGATCACATTCTCCCAATTACATATTCCTTGGACTTATCGTTTAAGCATATAACATTTATATGACATGGCTTTAAACAATAATCTTTTCTCTTTATATTATACTAGATTAGTTTAACATGTGAAATGTCCATAAAGTATCATCATATGGTTGGCTTTAGGGCACATTCCCAGCAACACATGTCCAATTCAATGGAAACTGAATTAACTACAACTAGCGTTTGCCCTTGTTATTAAAGTTAGAAGCATTAGGGGCGAGGGAATAGAGCTTCGAGGCCAAATTTCGTCCCTTGATTGGGCTTCTGCCTTGGGCCTATGGCTGGGAATTTGCGTCCTTTGCTGCAGCCATGAAGGCGTCCTTGTTTGTGGCTTCGAGAAGTGATTGCTTGCGCTTCAAGCATAGTGTTTAAGTCAGTGGGTCGAGTTTAGTGATTTTTCATCAACTATTGGTTTTGATTTTGAGCGATAAATAAAACGAAAATCAAATCTGAAAATTTGAAAAACCTTTGTGCCTAATATTGTTACTGTATGCCAATATTGGTGTTATGGAAGGTTGAATAGGTCTTCTCCAGGAGATCCTGTTTAGTGAAGTTTTATCTATAGAACTTGAGCAGTGATCAGATTCAACAAACTTCAAAGTTGTATTCATTCACAGCCTCAAAGTCTTGGTAGCATAATTGCTGCTAGTCATGTTTTGATTTAGGCAACAATATATTTCTGGTGATCAAAGTACTTGCCAGAGTGAGCTAAAGAGTGTTGGGATCCTTTTCAACAAGGTACTCAGTTTGCAGTACATCGTGCATATGTCTTCGGATGAAGATCATGGCAATTGCTTTGTCAGATTTACCTACTGGAAAGTCCGTAGCCTTTTGAAAGGTGGGTCTAAGACTTTTGGCAGTGAGATGGATCTTCACGTCTTGAACACAGTTCAAGGAGTTTCTTCGAATACTTCCAGAGCGATATAGTCGAGTTTATTCAAGTTCAACATGTCATTGCAATGGTGGGAATAAGATCATGGTTAGTCTTATGGAAAATCAAAGATTGATAAACATACAGTTAGAGCATTCGGGGTTCTATAGAGCATTTAGGATTCATGGTGTATGTTTTGATTGAAAATTTGCATTTTCAAAGGTGCAAAGTTCGAAACTATAGGTTTGAGTTTATTATGAACTTCGGGTTCATAAAAAGGGGTACCTGTAAGAACTCATAATACAATATCCTATTCAAATGTGGTGAATTTGTAGTTGCTTCAGGAACCCAAGTGTGAGCAGCTTCGGGACTATGAAAGACGTCAAAAGAAAATAAATAAAATATTGAATTGTAATTCTAAAAGGTGGAATGTGGGCCAATAATTTTAGACTTTTGTCGAAGTAATGGATTGTTGGTCACTTAAATTAATATTCAATAAATCGAGACCATATAGAATCGATCGTCGAAGAAAAAATAAACATATTAGCTTTGGTAGGCTTGGGGCCAAGCAATTAAGAAACTATGACCTGATAAGGCTTTGGCTGAGCACACCCCAAAATAATTGCGTGTGGTTAAGAAGCAACGAGGGCCGAAAACGTTAGCCTTTGGTAAAAAAAAAATAATAATAATAAACTTACAGCCTAATAAGGATTGTTGGCTGTTGTCAAGGCACGGCCTGCAGCAAAGGCTAGGCATTGTGGGCTCAGTGCAGGCTACTGCAAGCAGCCCAATTTTCTGCAACGCCAGCTGCAGGCTTGCTGTAGTCACGGGCCGAGGAAAAACAAAGGCCCAATAGCTCAGAAGGCTAGAAGTGGGCTATCCAAAAGCTGCAGGCTTGGTACTCGAACGCGGGCCGAGGACGTCAGGCTAATCAGAGAGGGACCCAAGCATCAAGCATGCTCTGTGGCACGCGCGCAGCAAAGCTGGGGGGATGCTGCCATGATCCAGACTTTAAAATGATGGCGTCGTGGCGTGCGGGCTCGGTGCTACACTGCTCAGCGATGCTTGGCTGCAGGCCAGCACGGCACGGCTCGACCTGATTCTTTTTTTTGGGTTTTAGGGTTTTTAGAATCCAAAAATTCATGCTTTTATTTTCTTTCGTCTTTTTTACTCACAAAAATCTATATAGAAAATATCATTTGCGTATGCATGAACATATATATACACACACACAAAATATATAATTGTAAAAAAATAAATAATAGACTGGGACTTCATGCATGATGGGGAATGTTTTCATGCAACATGGTGTATGAAATATCACATTTGTGTTTTAGGAGAACCTGATTGGCAAAAAACTAAACTGAGCCTTTAAATGTGTACAAGAACCTCCTCCATAAACCTTCAGTTCCTTAGCGTCAGACAAGATCGTGCTGATAACGTGTTGTGTGCCTATTTAACTAAAAAATTATTAAGAGGGAGAGAGAATTTGGTGTCATTCTGATGTTGTATTATCTCATCTCATTGTGCATCTATTTATAGTAGTAAGAAGGTAATTCTTTACTCAAGAGGTATTACAGCTTAAATATGATACTACCTAAAAGATATGATTAAATCCTATAAGGATTTTCTAGGATTTATGTAATTACATTTTTAACTTAATTAGAACTGCAACAGAAATGAGTATTTAAGTCCTCCAAGTTTATTTATATTATATAATTTTTTTTTTCTCTGAATAAAGAAGTAGGTTTTGAGGATATGTTGGAGTAAGTCCATACCTATCCAAGCAATGTGTCCTAATGTTGGTACATCTAGAACGACCTTCATTTTTGACCCACTCTTAGAAGTTACAATCATTGAAAATTACATTATTAAATTTGACACTATTGTCCAATTAATGGTGACTCAGTTACGTATGTGGGTGGGTGGATGGGTGGCTTAAAGGATATAGAACTTATCCTCTTTTGTTCGTACCATAATTATAAGTCAATATTTCAAACCATGTATGAGAGGATAATGAAGAATCTTAAGATAAGGCAATGTATGACAGGGAAACAACCTAGGTATAATTTCAAAAACCAAGTTTTTTAATTTTATTTAAAAAAAAAAAAAACAAAAGAATTGAGGGACAGTCGAGTGCATGGATTCTTGCATGTTGTCTAGATTAGCTGTGGTCGATAATTGCACCCATAATTTAAAATGTAAGAAAAATTGTCAATTGCATGTTTAGTTTATTTTTTATTTTTTAATAATACTTGAATTCATGTCCCACTCGTTACCAATAGTGTATTTTTATTTAATAATACTTCAATTGCATGTTCTACCATCAGAACAGTTAAATTTCTTAATCTTCATTTAATATTTATTCACAAAATTTAAATAAGAGATCATTTGGTCATTCAAATGTTTCAAATAAATGGACGGTTCATGAATATGTTTTTTGATATTCGTACTGTAGATTTGTTTTATATTTGGATGCATAAAAAATAATTGATTAGAATGGTTCTTTGTAGAGATAATTTTCAAATGAAGATTAAGAAATCGCATGATTCTGATTATAAACTTTATTCTATGAAGATACGTTATTCGCAACAAGTCTGAAATACCATCCTTTCCAATTTTTTAGATTAAAAACCAGTGTATGTGTTGCTTCTTTACCTAAAAATCATAGAATTTCCATGTAATTGCCTGTCATAGTTATACACATTTATAGGAAGCAAGCAATCTGATCCACTAAACTCTTTATGTACATGTGTTATATATTCTTTTGTATGTATATCTTCCCCAAAGGAATGTGCCAATTAGCTCAAAATTAATTACATTTACACGAAACTTCTTCAAACTTATTATCCGTAAGTTTCTTTTGCTCTTCTTCTCCTCCTCTTTTTCTTCCTCAAAATCTATGGGTGCAGGTAGTGACGAACAAATGCTTCAGGGTGGAAGCTCGATCACAAATTATGACAACTACACAAAAAGGGAAGATAGCTGGGTGATGGAAGGAGATCATGATGATCATGATGATATGTACGACACAACATCCTTGACGTCGATTTCGAATAGATCATCGACATCTTCATCGGACTTAGTAGATGATGCATCTTCACCATCAACATCATCATCATGTTCTTCTTCCTTTCATTCTCATGGATCGTTGCTCGACTTGACAGATCTCATGACTCAGCTACCCATCAAGTAAGAAGAGAAAAAGAAAGCCCATCTCAATTCTCATCATGACTATATTTCTAATTTCTTTTCCATTAATTTATAACCACGCACGATATTTAGTTTTAGGTTTTGCATTTTTTTGGATGTTCGATAGTTTTAGCATTCAGGTATATTAGTATATATATCCACGATAAAGTTTATATTGTGTTATGAAAAAAGAAAAGAAACATCTAATTTAATTAGTACCATAATCTTCCATTTTCCACACAATGCATGAAAGAATGGAACATTTGATTAAGTAGGCAGAACATAGATTAGATCAGTTGGTTCGGATAGTATAATCGAGCTCTGAAATCCAAATTTAAATCTCTCCTCCCATATCTGAATAGTTTAGAATATCCTCTTTCAAAGGATTTTGTTAATTTTCAGCTAAATTTCTTATTATACATGTACAGTAGAGGACTTTCAAAGTATTTTGAAGGCAAGTGCCAATCCTTTACATGTTTATCAAAGGTAAAGAGCATTCAAGATCTTGCAAAGAAAGAGTCTCCATATAATCAAAGAAAGGCACTAAAAGGAAGCGAGAGCTATGGCGGTGGCTTGGGTTCTTACAGATCGTACACACATCCGAAGGCCGCGATTTCTAAGAGTAAGAAGGCATCAACTACTTCATCTTTTTCGAGCAGATCAAGAGGCAGCTCTTTTCTCATAAATAACAACACGCTCCCTCCAACTCCAGTAAGAAAGTAGTTTTAACGTACGTACGTACGTGTGCCGGTGTGCATGTAAACTACACAATGTATATACTTGTTAATATTTTTTTTTTTAATTTTTTTTATTTTATGGAAGTAGACTTTGTTAGTATTTTGAGCCTCTCCTGTTTGTTGGTCTTGCAACTATCTTTTACACTGAGGAATCAGATATTATATTTGTTCTTCAGCTGCGTATGTTAAGATCTGGAATTTAGAATATAGGCAGATTCCATATATGATCTGAGAAAAAAAGGAAAGAAGATTGCGATAAATCCAAATTGAATTTTACATGAACAGTTCGTCTTAGAAAACTCGACTTGTATGATTAGGGATGACAATGGAGGGGAGCGGATTGAGTTTGCTTGCCTTTCCATCCGGGACATCCCCGATTTGTCCCCAATGAAGATCCGTTTGGTGGGCTGGATGAGATTGAACCTTAGAATAAGATTGGATTGACATGGATTGGTTAGGCTTTGAATCTCACTCCATTGTTTGGTGAAACACTAAGTTTGATGAGATTGGATTGGACTTAAATCCAGTCGACTATTTGGTACATGACTAAATTGGACTTAAAAATTTTATTTGTTTTTTTAATTTTCATTTATTCAATATCACGTATAATTAATCAAAGCAAATAAAAGAACCACAAATTTGATAATAAGAAAATCATATGAAGATACATCTATATGTTCATCCAAAAGGTACGATTTTTGGAATATAACAAAGTCCAAATTAAAATTCCATAACAAAGTTAAATTCTTAAAAAACCAACTAGAAAATAGAACAAAATCCAAATTTTAATTCTTAAAATTCAACTAGAGAATATAAAAAGCAACTACATCTAAGTCATGAGCTCTACGATAAAAAAAAAGTCATGAGCTCGACGATCGATCTCCATGGAGTGTCCTCACAGACTTGAACCTATCTTCACTTTCATCTAGTGTTCTCGAATACACACACTTTTGCCAGATCCGTAAACAAGGTAAGGTAATCCGATCTCCAATTGAAAACCCAACCTCTTTGAGCTCTTCTCCCTCAAACTTATGGTCATCATTTACGCCTTTCTCCTTCAACCCATCAGCCAACTTGTGCAGTTTAGAATCATGACCCTCCACCATATTCTCTAGTACACTAGCAATTTTGCCCAAGCCATCCAAAACTTTGCTCGGCCTTTCTCTCCTACTTCTACATGCGGATGATTAATTAGAATGAGCTTGAGTTGCACTTTAGTTTGATGACTCCCTTGTTGGAATTTGTGTTTTATGTGGGACTTGGAGTCCCACATCGTCCAAACCTTCTTTGAACATCACCTTTATAAGTGAGTGAACTCACTTATAGTTTGAATTGAATTGGGTCAAAGGCATGGACCTTGGGCCTTAGACTTGGAGGGTTTGGGTGTATATACAAGATGAGTGACACCAAGTCTGTTGTCAAGCAAGTTGAAGAACTCCAAGTGATTGTTCATGAGTTAGATGAAGAAAACCTTGGTATGAAAGAAGGTTTTGTGGTTGGCTCTATCATAGAGAAACTGCCTTCGAATTGGAAGGACTTCAAGATTTATTTGAAGCATCTAACTAAAGACATGAGCATGGATCAGTTGATTCTCAAACTGCGTGTGGAGGAGGATCATCGCAAAAATGAGAAGTATGATGTCTCATCGCTGGAGGCAAAAGCCAATGTTGTGGAAGGAGGTGACTCACACAAGGCAAGGCACCATCAGAAAAACAAAGGCAAGGATGCTGCAAAGAAAGCAATGACTGCTGTGAAAGGGAAAACCTTCAAGAAAATCAAAGGAGGTTGCTGGGTTTGTGGAAAGACAGGTCATAGGGCAAAGGACTGCCGCCACAAGAAGGATCAGAAAAATGCATTTATGTTAAGAAACGAAAAATGCTTGTGTTATTGTATGTCTATATGTTGATGACATGCTTATAATGGGAACAAACAAAGATGTGATTAACTCCACAAAGAAAATGCTAAATTCTAGTTTTGATATGAAAGATATGGGATTAGCTGATGTGATTCTTGGAGTTTGAATTCCAAGGAATTCAGATGGATATGTCCTAACTCAATCACATTATGTGGAAAAGGTTCTAAAAAGGTTTGGACATTATGATTGTAAACCTGCAGTAACTCCTTTTGATCCTGTTCATAAACTTACTAAAAACGAAGAAGAGAGCGTATCTCAATTGGAGTATACCCAAGTTATAGGTTGCTTGATGTACATTATGAATTGTACAAGACCTGATCTTGCTTATTCAATAAGCCGACTAAGTAGGTATTTAAGTAATCCTGGAAGAGATCATTGGAATGCTTTAATAAGGGTATTAAGATACTTAAAGCATACAATGAACTATGGTTTGCATTACACTCAATATCCCCCAGTATTAGAAGGATATAGTGATGCAAATTGGATTTCAGGGAGCACAGACAGTAAATCCACAAGTGGATATGTATTTACACTTGGTGGAGCAGCTGTGTCATGGAAATCATCCAAGCAAACATGTATAGCACGTTCGACAATGGAATCAGAGTTTATAGCCTTAGATACAGCTGCTAATGAAGCTGAATGGCTTAAACATTTTCTGGAAGATATTCCATTATGGCCCAAGCCTGTGACTGCAATATGTATACATTGTGACAACATGGCTGCACAAGGTCGAGCCAAAAACGCTGAATATAATGGGAAGTCAAGACATATAAGGCGACGACATAAAACCATTAGACAACTACTCAAGAATGGAACTATTTCCATTGATTATATTAAATCTAAGGAGAATATTGCCGATCCTTTGACAAAAGGCCTATCCAAGGATCAAGTGGCATTTACATCGAGGGGAATGAGTTTAAAGCCAACTCAATGAGTTATAACTTGACGGAAACCTAACCTAGCTAATTGGAGATCCCATGGTCTAGGTTCAATAGGCAAACTAGTTGAGGAAAACTCAAAGTAAACAACACAATATCTTTACTTATTCTTATGATGGAAAACTGTGTGTTGCCTGTAAGACAAAAAAGGTGAATAATTATTCTTAATAATACTAATATCCTATGATTAAGATGAATAGAACAGGATATTCTTTATTAGCATTACCTATATGAGATTGATGTGGGGTCGCATCTTTGAGAATTGGTATGGCTACAATTCTCTAAAGGTCTCATGAAATCAGGATATGTTCAGGACCAAAATGAACACAACCGTATGAATTGACGTGTGTTCAGATGTGATATGTGTGATACTTATTGTTTCGATTTTACTACTAAGAATGATCAGTTCAAGATAGTAAATTCACTGCTTCATTAGGTAAAACCGATAAGTACTCACTAGAGAAGGTTCAAGTCCAAAAGATACCTACCCCGATGCGTATCATATCTAAGTTCTCTAGAAAGACATTACTAATTTAGCTAGTATCTTATTTTCAATTCAAATGTGGGGTATTGCTAAAGTTTGAATAGAAAATGTGGGGTATTGTTGGAATTTTTGTTTTATGTGGGACTTGGAGTCCCACATCGCCCAAACCTTCTTTGAACATCACCTTTATAAGTGAGTGAACTCACTTATAGTTTGAATTGAATTGGGCCAAAGCCATGGACCTTGGGCCTTAGACTTGGAGGGTTTGGGTGTATATATTAAATGTCAAAGATAGGCCTTAGGCCTTGGGGCTCTTGGGCTCGGATGGACGAAAAACACAAGTTACGTTTTTGATTTTTTGGATTCAGTTTTTTCCGAAAGGATAAAACTGATTGAACAGTTACGTTCAATTACATTCGGTTTTTATTTTTTAAAAACTGATAAGCATGAACGGTTGTATTTGTTCAATTTATGCCATTATATATATGGCAATAAAATCAGAAACCGATCATCAATTTCATTTTCCTTCCTCCATATTTCACAGAGAAATGCTCAATCAATTCGCCAAGAATCCAAGTTTGTGTGCAAGAACTTGGGTTAGATAGTTGTATCCTACAAGATAGACGTCCATTTGAACTACTACACTGGTGTAGGGGCGTATTTTTGTCTTAGGAGATTGCTACTGCAAGCCTCTAGCTTCCTAACCAAGTCAGTGTTTTGTGGTTTATTAATTCAGTTTTATTTGTTGTATAATATATACTTAACATTTGATTGGTTCTAACATCCCTTCTAACCCATTCAGATGCCTTCACCTCTCCATCATCATCATCATCCATAACCATCTCCGAGGGATCTAAAGATCCTTTTCTAGTTGCGGGATCCTGGCCAATGTTAGTTTCAGATGACTCCCTGCAGGGACGGAGCTAGAAATTTCTTTTAGTAGGGGAAACCCAAAAATCAATTAAGAAAACCTTATTATAGTATGACTTATAACCAATATGAAAATAGAGATGATTTCAAATGATAATGTATCACAATTCCAATGTTACAAATTTTAGTGTAGTAGTGGAAAGTGGCAAAGTGATAAGAAAAATGTTAATACATAATTACGCAAGAGTGAGGTTTTTCAGTTTGAATGACAGAATAAGAACACTTTTACTCATATAATATTTGATATGGAGTATACGCAGTATGAAACTATGTTGGATACTAGGTACATATATTTTCTTCAAAAATAATGTGTGTGTATTATATAATTATAGTCTGCAACTTAACAAGCAAATCACTTGAGTGAGGGGCATATGCCCCCAGTGAGCCTTCATTGGCTCCATCCTTGACTCCCTTCTAACCCAACGTTAGCTTCAGATGACCCTGTAACCTTGTGCATGAGCAAATCACATTGGCCCCTAAACGACCATGTGAAATTCAAAAATATTAATCAAAACGATCACACGAAATTCAAAAATAGGAATTAATAGTCTTTTCCATTCTTTTACTTCATCTCCCAAGCATGAGACTTGGTTATAAATCACACGAAATTCAAAAATACTAATCAAAATGATCACATGAAATTTAAAAATAGGAATTAATAGTCTTTCCCATTCTTTTCTTCTGTCTCCCAAGCACGAGACTCAGTTATAAATGACACATGTCACAAATAAGCTGCTAAAAATAAGCAAAAACGGTTATAAACAACGGGCGTCACAAATAAGCCGCTAAAAATACGCAAAAAAATGATTATGAAAAATAAAAAAGACGTGGGGGAATGCAACACAAGGACTTCCCCAAAGGTCGCCCATCATAGTACTGCTCTTGCCCAAACTCAATTAACTTTGAAG